CCCCCCCCCCCAATCTCCACATGGAGACCGTAATCCTAGGAAGACATATAGCTGGCATCTACCAGCTGGAAAGAGAGGGACACGATAGGCCATTGTGATTGATCACAATGGGACGATAGCCCCGATAGGGCCACTGTGTGGAGATCCTTCATCAGCTGGATTCCTCACCACCTTCCATGGGGGTGTCGAGACCACAAGTCAAAATGGCCACCTTTATGTCTTTATTTCACTGTTTTATCGTTATCTTAGGAAAAAAAAATGTACAACGATCGACCTGTTCGCTTCCTGTGCTCATCTGTTGGTATCCCATTGCTTAGCTGCCATATCTGTCAAGCTTACAACTCAGTTATGGGTTAAGCATTTTATTCTGGTGGACTTGGATGGGCCATCTTCGGGCTACAGGCTGGAAGTATTACCCACCTCACCAGAAATATTTGACGTAAAGGGTTTGTTCACATTATGGCCGTAAGTTTGCATTCGGTATCCTGGAATAGAGATTAAGCAGCCGCTGTGCTGCTGAGGAGTTATACTGTGTTGCAGAGAGAGAGAGAGAGAGAGAGAGAGAGATCCCTGTTCCAAGGTGACTTTGCGATCAGGTTCCAGAAGCGGGCAACAGCCTGGGCGCTTTCGGGGGGACCAAGCTGCTTACAGCAGCCGCTGACTCCTCCAGCACACATTCCCGGCTCCGGAAAGCCAGCGCTTTTCAGTCTGGGATTAGGGATGTCCTCCTTTCAGTTCACAGGTGTATAAACTTCAGGGCAACAAGGCTCTCCATTTCTGAGATAACAGTGCGTCGGCCATTTCAGTCCGCTTGTAAACAACAGGCTAACTAACTAGCTGGCTAGTGATGGATGGGAGACGCCGTGAAAAATGTAAAATATTGTTTTATAAACTTGAATACTAAAAGAATACTAAAAGATAGCTCAAACTTCTGTGCAAATACACTGTAAATTGTTTAAGGTTTTATTGGGTATTTAAAGTCTTGCTAAAGTTGAAGACTGTTTAAAAAAAATGACAGTGGTTATGTGTGTGTTTGTGTGGGTAATGAATATATTAAAATACGGGGACCAAATGTTCCCACAATGTGATAAAAACCTGTTATTTTGATGCTGTTTCTTCTGTTCCCACAAGAGGAAACCCAATTTTATAAAAATCTGTGACTGCAATCAAAAAATTACAAATGTCAAAGTCTTGTATTTTGTTTGGTTATTTATGGTTATGGTTAGGGCTGGGTAGGGGTTGGAGTTGTCTTTGTTGGGATTACAGTTTTTGCTGTAGAAATGAATGGACGGTCCTCAGAAATATGTGTGTGCGCGCGCATGTAGGGTAAACATATCCTTATGGGGACCGCTCATTCATTTCAATGGGAAAAATGCTAACGCTAACTATGACAACCTTAACCCCTACCCAGCCCTAACCATAACCATAAGTAACCTAACAAAATGCAAGAGTTTTTGCATTTTTAGTTTTTTCATAGCAGTCACCAATTTTTATAAAATAGAGTTTTCCCTTATGGGGACCAGGAAACCGGTCCCCATAAGGGGTAAAAAACGGATATTTATCACATTATGGGGACATTATGTCCCCATAAGGATAGGTAAACCCGCTCGCGTGCGCGCGTGTGTGTGTGTGTGTGTGTAGTATTTGAGGGCAACACTGTGGGGAAAAGGCTCCAGTACCTCATGGGGACACATACCACTGGCCCTTTTCTGAATAAACCTGAAGACCCCAAACTACGAGTTTGTTGATATTTGAACATTTTGAAGGTGGGGTTACAAGCCACAGATTACAGTGGGAAATCCTCACTGGGATGAACATTGCAAGGCTTTTGAGACTTTAGCCTTTTCGCCCCTTTGAAGCAGAGTCCTCACAAACAATTTCGCTCCCCGAGCTCAGCCTCCTCCTCAGCTCCAGAGAGGAGATCGATCTGACAATAGCAATAGGGCAGGGTTTTGGGGTCAGAGGTGAAGGGGGTCCCCTCTGGGGCGGTTCGGTGGAGGGCACTCCCTGGGACGCCAGGCCGTTTGTTTGACCTCAGCTGGAGTCCAGCTTGTCTCGCCTCGGCCGCTCTCTCATGCAGAACCACCCAGTCATCACGCTCCCATAGAGCCAAATGGCCTCCACTTCCTCTAGGGGGGAAGGCCGGGAACAGGGGGGGGGCTGGTGCCTTGTGCTGGCTAAGGGTGGGGGCTCACGCCGCCGATCTCATATAAACTGAAACCTTGCAGCTATTCATTTAAAGGCCTTAACATGGATCCACGATAAAACTTGATGTGAAATTCTGTTCTGAGAATAACCCTGTCTGGCTAAAAACAACGGCTAATCGATTAAATAATAACTTAAATCGTAATTGTGTCATGCTGAGACCACCTAAAAACATTGGCCCCTCGATACAGAGGAGCCCCTGTTCTGCTTTTCGCCTCACAGCCATATTTAGCATCCTTGCTAATATTGACGATTGTAGGAAAAGTGGCCCCCGCAGTGGTGGGGGGGGGGGGGGGGGTTGTCGTTAAAAGTCCATAGAGGGGCCCGCATTTAAGCGACGAAGTGGCGCATTTTTAAGGACGCCTGGGCGAGAACCGGATTTCTGCGATGGTGGATGTGACATCGACGAGGAAGAGGAGGAGAAGGAGGTGGAGGCAGGGGGGCAAGCGGGAGAGAGCCAGAGAGAGAGGGAGCGTGTTACAGGGAGTCTGTGCCTCATGGCTCTGCTATCTCTTGATCAATGCGCCGGCTGAAAGAGCAGCTTTTAAAGGACTTCTTAAAAAGGACGCCTTCCCTTTGTGCGCAGTGTTTACCCCACTCCATTGAGAAGCTATTGTCCTTCCCCAACCCCCCCCCCCTCTTTCAAAGGGGCTTACAATGGGCCAGCTCGTTTGAAACACAACAGTAGATTAACTGCAGTGACAGTGTATTAAACTCTGATGAATCGACAGTGCGAGGCATAGATCAATGTCTTTCAACCTTTTGCACACAGAGGGCCACAGTGTTGTCTGGCTGAAATACGGCAGGTTGCCGGCTTTTCCCAGCTGGGTGTTTTATGTTTTTTTAAGGGCGTGGTGCCATTCATGAGGCCTTTTTAAGCCACATAAATAACTGCTGTAAAAAAAAATTATCCCTGCTCTGCCGAAAGTAATCATTAAAAAAGCGATATTATAGTAGATTATCATTTTTTTTATTGTTTTAGAATGTTTAGGGGAATTCAGCATCTCTCCTTGAGGTGTTGCAGATGGTTACTCGTCATGGCCTCTCCCGCAACCCCGAGGTTGTGAGATGCGTTCGGATTGACGGTTTCGGTCACTTTCTGCTTGACATGGATGGAGGGCTTCCGGAGGGGGCCTGTTTCCCCCCAACCGTCAGTTGCTCCCCTCACATGGAGACTATGGCTGTTCCATAAACACGGCTAACAGGTCTCTCCCTTGGGGGGTCCCGTCTTCGCCCTGACCTTTTGATTACTGTTGCTTTTTATCTGGAGTCGAGGGATCACCGTTTACACAGACTCCCGCTCGGCCTGTGATCAGGAGCAACAGGCCCCGGCTGCTGTTCTGCGTGGGGATTAGCCTGTCATCCAGATGGAGCTGATCACTGATCTCAGGCCAGATTTTGTTGTGACACGGATGCCTGGGTTTTGAGCTCTGGCAGAACACTCACGTTCCTTCAACGTGGCATTTTGACCCATTTTCATACATACACTCAGGGATCAAAATAATACAGGCAACCCTATCGTGTAATTTTAACTCGCCACCGGGATCAATATACTATAAAAAACACACTTTTTTTTCCCATTAAAAAGCACATTAGTTAGTAAATCTGTAATTACACTTACAATTTTGGTTACTGTTTCAGTTCCTGTTACACAACACCTTGTGTAGATACGGTCACGAAGTAACGGATCTTGTGACTGTTCAAAGTTCTCATGTAGAGGAAGACACACCGGCCGCGTTTACTCACCCCTTCTCCGTCTCCAGGTGTGGTTCAGCAACCGGAGAGCCAGGTGGCGCAAGCAGGCGGGAGCCAATCAGCTGGCAGCCTTCAACCACCTGCTGCCCGGCGGGTTCCCGCCCACTGGGATGCCGACTCTGCCGACGTACCAGCTTCCTGAGTCGAGCTACCCCACCGCCACGCTGCCACAGGGTAACGATAATGCCGGCCACACGTATGCTGGATGCTACTCATATCAGCTCTGTGTCCCTCCAATAAACAAATTAATAAGCATAATTAGCTGTTTATATACATATATTTATCTGTATATTAATGTTGATGTATGTATTGTAAATAAATATCTGAATGACACTAAGGATATTTATTCCCTATACACACTATTAGCATTGCAGTACCGCCTCTCCCCAGGTTACAATGGGGTTACGTTCCTACGTAATGGTGTTACAGTAAACCTATTGTAAGGTGAAAATATTGTACGCCGAAAATAAATTTTAATACAGTACATCTAACCTAACAGACATCAAAGCCTGGCCTTGGTCTACCTTAGACATGCTTAAAACACTTACATTAGCCTACAGTTGGGCAAAAGTATTAACACAAAGTCTAATATATAAAAACATGCTGAATATCTCATGTTATTTACTGAATGATGTACTGAAAGTGAAGAATTGTAAAGTCAAAATATTGTGACACAGACCACAGAGCTGTATTAGTTTCCATCATTTAAGTGATGTTATGTCACCATGGATACAAGAAGCCATTGTCTTTATGCTGCGTGATAGAAGGATGGATGTGAACTGCCACTGAGGTCAACAGAGCAGTAAGTGAGCCTTCCAGAGGTGAGCATTGATCATTGGCCTCATTCCCCCCCCCCCACAGATGGCAGCAGCACGGTACACCGGCCCCAGCCCCTGCCCCCCTCCTCCATGCACCAGGGCGGGCTCACGGGCGACACCGGCTCCGCCTACGGCCTCTCGTCCAATCGCCACAGCTTCTCCAGTTACTCCGACACCTTCATGAGCCCCTCGGCCTCCAGCAACCACATGAACCCAGTCAGCAATGGGCTCTCTCCGCAGGTCAGTGGGGGTTCAAAGGCTCACGGTGCAAAAACACAGAGTAACGGCAGGATTCATACAATCTCTTATTACAAGCCAGTAGCTTTCACAGGCTCAGGGTATATGCATAGCTTTTCCTCAACTGTATCTAGTTACAGGGAGATTTTCAAAATGTCCCTTAGCGACATCTGTGGCTGAAAAGTGTCATTGCACATATTCAGACAGCATGACCTATTAAAATGCAATACTGTAGCATGCATCAGTGGAAAGTGAATTTTAATTACATACAAAGCTTCTCCATAAAGCAAGAGAATCACTGGTGAAAGTCTTTCAAAATTAGCATTTAAACACTTAACCGTAATGGTAATATTTCGCTAAAGATGAATTTGAACCAATTTTTAAAATATATCTGGTCAAGACTCAAATTAGGTAACAGAATATTACTAACAAACAATTTATTGAATCACACCTAGAGTTAACCACTGCTGTGCTTGTTTTCACACTCCTGTGAGGTGTAATTCTTGTTTCTAATTTATGTGTAAAGATAGATGACATTACTGGGCACTTAATGAAGGGTTTGCTGTGGCAGCTGGTTTGTTCTGCGGTTTCGTCTGGTGCTTGTGTTACCCAAACCTGGCATGAGTAACCTGCTAAAGGTTCGATACAGGCTACACTAGTTCTCTCGCTGTTCTCCTGTTGTAGCTATGATACCGTACTGCCCTAACAGCTTTGTCAATTATAAGAGCAAATTCAGGTATATGTGCCTGAGCACATGATTTGTCATGATCTGTGAAAATGCGATTGCTCTGATGTGTGTATCTGGCTGAAGAAACCGAGAGAAATTCACCTCACCTTTTATGGACGTGTCGGACAATAAGCATTCAAAATGAGACTTTCTGCTAGGGGTTGACTCTGCAGAATAAAAATGACTGATATTGATGCAAATCACTGGTGAAGAGTAAATTATATGCAATTACCCAGCAATACTGGGCAGTCTTGCCCATCCTAAGCAACAAGATCTGGCTAACAGGCAGAAAATAAGATTGAAATGGTCTGTAAAGAATTGAAAACGAATTTCAATGCTGCATTTGTCTGCAATTACTCCCTTATTCACACATATTTTATTGGGAGTTTTTTTTATATTTCTCAAAGCAGATTGGAAACATTCTGGTATTACTCTCTCTTTCTCCAGAGAAGAAAGAATTAAGGATTTTCTGACAAAAAAGAGATTTTCTCTTGTACTGGAGAGTTGAGGGATAAGGCGCGATTCACAGCGTGTTTGATTGTTAATCGTAGTGTTGGGGCTTTAAGTGCTAATGCTCCCTCTGCAAACCTGCATATATATCAGGAAGATGACTGCCTTTTTTATTAATGTGATTCAATGCCTCCTTTACAAATGGGGCTCTCACCCGCTCATTCTATTATCTGAAAAAAAAAACCATAGGGTATATAATAGCCCCCCACCCAGTTTTACATTGTGGATTATGACATCAGGGGTATAAAGGTATTATTATTCTTGCTGTAATTATTTTAAAGAGGTTTCTTTACTTTGTTGGGTACATATCCATTCAGAGGAACGCCAGTCATTGCTGTTGAGGCATTTCTCTGGCTGGATTGGAAATTATGGTGGGGGGTGGAGTTTGGGGGGGGGGGGGGGGAGCTTGCTCAGATGAAGTCGAGCGAATTGAAGCAGTTGGATTTCATTTCTTGATGCGCCGGAGGTCTAAGTGTTTGTTAAATAGGAGAAAAAATGTAAAATAACGACACTAATATGCTGCATGCCGGCTTTGTGCGGTGTTTTTCACGCTTTTTTACACAAAGGGGCGAGTGGTATCAAGTGAGAGGGAGCGTGCACAATAGCGGTGAAGCAGTGAGCCACAATGCGCATCCAGCTGGAGGCTCGGCCCTTGAATCCAGCCCCCCCCCCCC